TTATTTTTGCATGATTTCTTCTTTTTGGAGTTCTTCTAGTGACAGTTTTTTGGGGCTTTTACATTTGCACTTTTAGCTTTATGCACTGCTTTGCATGTATTTTCATAGTATACAAAAATACTGCCTTTATAATTATTTGTAATTTGACCATTTTTATTAAGAATTAATCTGTAATCTCCGGTTTTAAAATCCCAGGTATATAATTTTGGAAGTCTGACTGTGACTATAGGATCACCATTTGCGGTGAATATTCGAAGCAGTAGTAAAAATAAAATTAAAATAAAAGTATATTTTATTTTTAACAATCACCAATCTTAATATCACTAACAAGTGTTTTTTAAAAAATTTTATTTATAAAGAAAATTTATATTTGATTAATTATTGTAATTTTAAAAATTGTTTAATTATTATTTCTTTTATATTAAAAATAATAAATAAATAATTAAGATTTTGGCATAACTTTTAAATAATTGTGTAACTTAATTTATTCATATATAAATAACGTAAAAATAAAATTTCTCAAAGTAATCTTTTTCAAATGTATATGCTTGTAAGTGTTTTTTTTATTTTTTTAGAATATTTTTTTTCTTTTGGTTGCTAATTTTTTTTTAATTGTAGTATCATTTGATAACTTTTTCTGTTTCTATAGAGGCTCAAATAAGGCTTGCGTTATTTCTTTATAAAAAATGCTATAATAGTATTATCTGTACAATTATTGCGCATTTTTGTTGCAATATTATTTTGGTTGAAATTATACAAGATCTGTATAATTATAATCGATGGCTTCATGCTATTGTTTTTGGAATATTAATATTTTGGGTTTATACAAATGTTGGGTCAATTTATACAATTTTATATGTTTTAATTGTTCATGAAATATTTTATTGTAATAAAGAAAAAAGAAAAATAGAATTTAAAAAATATATTTAAATAATTTTGTAAGTTATTTTTTTTTTAAAAAAAATAAATTATTTTTTTAATACGTTATTTTTTTTAAAAAATAAAGGTAATTTTTTTTTAAAAAAAAATGAGCGAACAAACTAAACAATCTGAACAACCTGTACCTGTACCTAAACAACCTCTACTTCCAATAAATAATAATAATCAAATATATAATAAAGCAATTGCTAAATTTAATCATTTAAAAGAAGCTTATAGTGCACTTTATAAACAAAATCAAAGTTTAATTCAAGAAAATGAATATTAAAAAAAAAGCAGTTGAAGGGTTTAATGATTCTGTTAAAAAAAATCTTGATGATGCAGTTTTAAAAATAAATAATAAACTTGATGATATTAATATTGAAGAAGGAGAGGTTGATTATGAAGAAATTAAAAAAAAGACAAAAAAAGTATGTACAGAAGCATTAGCCAAGGTTCGAGATTTTTTACCAAGCATCATTCTGATGTGAAATCGTTATTAACAGACAAACCACCCCCAACAGAATTTACTTAATTTTATTTAATGATATATTAATTATTGTTTTTGTTTTTTTTATTTTAAATTTTTTTTATAGTTTTGATCTTTATTGTATAAAATATTAAAATGTATATTTTATTTTTTTTTTTAAAAAAAAATGTATTATTTTTTTTATTTTTTTAAAAAAATTTTTTTTATTAATAAAAATTAGGTCGCAAAGAGACCTTGTGGTTAAAAAATTTGAAGAATTAACTGGCGCATATACAAGATTAAAACAAGAAAATGATATATTACGTGAAGAAATAAAAAAATAACTTGAAAATATTAATAAAAACTTGAATATTGATACTTTGGCAACAAATTTAGCAAATAAATTAAAACCTTTAATTGGAGGTATTAATTATGAAACAGTGAAAGAAAAATGTAAAGAAGTATTAGAAGAAATACAAGATTTTTTAGAATCAATTCCTCAAGATGTTGATAATTTATTAAAAAATCAACCGCTTATTCAAGAACTTTCTACTTCTAAATAATTTAAAAAATATGTCATATTTTTTAATAATTATATAAATACTTTGTATTTTTTTTATTTTTTTTTAAAAAAAATAAAAAAATAAAAATAAAGTATGTATTATTATTACATATAAATTTATAAATTTTTTTATAATTTTTATTAATTAATTAATTATTTTAGTATAAAATTAAGCAAAATTATTATTTTATTTTTGGTTTTATTAATTTTTGTTTTCACAAATGCGCAATAATAACAAAAAAGACGACCTTGTTGTTCAATCTGTAAGAAAAACAATGTTGATATGGTTGGTTTTAATAAACGTACTCATATAGCAGTTGGCAATCATCAACAAAAAAATATAAAACAAAACAAAAGACAAGTTAAATATAGTATTTGTGGGAGAGTAGGGTTTAATAAGCAAACTCATCCAAATTATGTTTAATTAAGCAAATATGTGTATTTTTATTTATTAATTAAATAAAAAACTTTTTTTTTTTAAAAAAAAATAATACAAAATAAAAAAATACTATTTTTTTAAAAAAAAAAATAATATAAAATAAAAAATTGCATTTTTTTAAAAAAAATTATTCATCGTTAGGTGGTAATTCGCCATATAATTCTACTATCTTATTATACTTTGTTTTTAATTTATAATATTTGTCTTTAAAATCTTCATAGTCTTTTTTCATAATTATAACCACATCATATAACATTTGATTTTTTTTATATTTAACTAAAAGTTTAATTTTTTCAAATTGAGCTTTAATATAATCATACAATTCACATTGAGAATCTTGTTCATTAATATTTTTTCTTATTTGTAAAAGAGAACTATGAATTTTGTGATTTTTTTTGATTATATTATCAATATCGTTTACTAAAAACACTTAAAAAATAACAAAAATTAGTACTTATTAAAAAAACAAAAAAATAAAATAAAAAAAAATTTTTTCTCATAAGTCTGAAACACAAAAGAGAGAACCGGTCAAGAAAAAAGAAAAAAATATTAAAATAATATTACTAACCCAGTAGCAAAAAATAGTTACTAATAGAAAAAGAAATATTACAAACTATTTTTTGTTAAAGGGTTGGAGTTGATGTGTTTCAGACTACTGCAGATTTTTTAATCATAGAAAAGAAAAACAAAAAAAAACAAAAAAAAATACTAACTTTTTTACAAAAAAAAGTAATTTAAGAAGAAACAAAAAAAAAGAAAATAAAAAAATTTTAACAGAACTTTGTTTATTAATCTAAAAAAGAAACAATATAAATTTTTATACTTATAAAAAGAATAATTTTTAAACATAATTATCAATAATAATCACATAATTTTTATCAAACTTAAAAAAGAAACAATATAAATTTTTATACTAAGATCAGCAAATATATTATATTATAAAAAATCATTAAATATTTGTCTATCCTAGTATAAAAATTTATATTGTTTCTTTTTTAAGTTTGATAAAAATTGCGTTTTTATAATTTCTTTTTAATATTTTATGTTATTATAAATATAAATATTTTATTTTAAAATATATAATATAAATAATAAAGTTATATAATAAAAATAAAAAAAAATAAAAAAAGCTATTTTTTAATACTAAAACGTGTACTAAATTTTTTATCATTATATTTCATATACAAAACTTGTTTATCATAATACATTTTTGCTTGAGTTTTTTTAAAAAAATCTGTGCCTAATAAAATTTTTTCTTCTTTAGATTAGTATACATCAAATTTATTGGTATCTTAATATTATCGATTTTTATATATTCTTTTAATGTTTTATATGTTTGTATATTATTACCCGATGCATCTAACGAATATCTATCTTCTTTATTTTGTATTTTTAATCCAAGTTTTTTCATCATTTTTTTTGTCATACCGGTTTGATCACACCCTGTATCTAATATCACTCTAGCCTTTTTACCATTAATACTAATCATACAAGAAGCATTACTATAGCTAATTTTTTGAGGTGTAGTTTTTTTACAAACTTTTTTTTGAGGCACTTCAAGAAAATAATCATCATTTTTTTTATTTTCTTCAAGTACAGATTTTAAAAAATTTTCATAGTCTTCTATTAATTCGCAAAGAACTTTATCACAGATTTCATTATAGATTTCTTCGTAGATTTTTTCAAAATCTTCATCTTTACTATTTTCTATTAATAATTGTTGTAATAAGTTTTCTAACTTAGACTTTTTTTTTATTTTTTATTTTTTTTAATTTTTTATTAAAAAAAAATTAAGAAAAAAATTCAGCGATATAAAGAAAGTGACAATTAAAAAATTTTTATTTAAATAAAAATTTTATCTAATATTAAATAAAAAATTATTATAAATTTAAAATAAAATTTATATTAAATTGGTATATTATTTAAATTTAAATTTTATATAAAAAAACAAAATATAAAATATGTACTTACGTATATATTTTTTTTTAAAAAAAAAATTATATAAAAACACCTTTTTGCTATAAAAGTATATTATATATTTAAAATGCCAAAATTTAAAGCTTATAAATTTGTTTTCAGAAAAAATTTAGATAACAATAAATAATTTGATTGGTGTTTTGATTTTTGTTTGTTAATCTTTTTTTGTACTACAAAAAATAATTCTATAAACTACTGATTTGCCTATATTTTTATGATTTTCTAACTTGCAAACTTCAATGACCGCACATTTTATTTTAGATAGGGCCTCTGAGATTTCATAGTTTAAACTATTCTAAGCTTCTCTCAATTCGTTGAGTTTAAACTAAGCTAAGAATCCCTGTTAAATTATATGTATAAAATTTCTAAATGATATAGCTGAGAAGTTTGCAGGTTTAAAAAAACAAAAAATGCTTTAGATAGCTTTAATTACTTTTGACCAAGTAAATTTCTCTTTACTAAACGAAAAAGTTAGCGGGCTTGATCCAGTTGTTTTTTTGTTAGTAGTCTTTGATGAATGCTCTATTTTTTTGTTAATTAAAATAAAAAAAAATTTCAAATAAAAGACTTGTAATTATTTACAAGAACTTCTGAGACGCATGAGACTGGTTACCTGTTAATTTAGCAGTCTCTGAGTTATTTGAGTTGAGAGTTATGGAATTATACAGTTATGGTCTGGGATCTGTATAATTTCTCTCCCAAAAAGAGATTTATCACCTAAACTCTCCTCAGAAGCAAGTGATATAAACTGCTACATTGGTTTGCTTCAGACAATGTATATTTTTTATAAGATATATTTTTATAAAAAATATATAGCAAATACATATCAAATTAATATTTTATTAATAAAAAATAATAAATAATACAGTCAAACCTCTCTATAATCACACCCTTGGTTTTAAGAATTTGGTGCTTATAGAGAGTTTGTGCTTATATAGAGGTTAAATTTTATAAGTGCTATATAAGTTAGTTTTAAAAATTTATATGACTATAAACAAATGTGACTATAGGGGAGGTGACTATAGAGAGGTCTGACTGTATATTTAAAAATTAAAATAAATCACTAAAGTTTTCATTTTGATAAATAATTTGATTATTATATATGATAAAAAAACTTTCGACATTTGTATTTAAAATTATAATTTTTTCTGTATTAATAAAGTTTTGAATATTAAAAAAATCATTTGTTTTAATTAAAAATGAATAACCTTTTGATTCAACTTGTGTAATAATAATTTGTCGATTTGAAGTTCTCTTTGTTATATGAATTCTTAAATCTTCTTTACTTAATATAAAATGAAAAATATAATCTTCAATTGAATGGAAAATAAAAAATTGATTCATTTTTTATTTTTTTTAAAAAAACTTTTTAAATAATTTTGTAAAAATTTTTTTAATTATAAAACTATAAAAAGACTATTTTTATAGATTTTTTTTAACTAAAAATGAAGTAGCAAGAAAAATTTAAAAACTTCGAAACTGCTTGCACTTGAAAAAAATATAAAAATTCTGAAAAACCAAGACACAAACTCAATGAATATCGAACAGTAAAGATTAATAATAAGCTTTATTATAAAGTTAAAACTCAAAACCAAATATTACTTTTCTTTGTGATATTGACAATTTTAATTTACTCAAAAATTTTACTTGGACTTTATCTAAAAAAAGAAATACATATTATATTTTATCTAAAATTGAAAAAGAAAATAAATAAATAACTATTCTATTTCATTGAATAGTTTATCCAAATTTTAAAATGATCGACCATAAAAATCAAATAGGACTTGATAATAGAAAATATAATCTTTGAAAAACAACTCCAAGAAAAAATGCTTTAAATTGTAAATTATCTAAAAATAATACTTCTAATTATAATAGTTTAAATTTTGATAAATTTATGAATACTTGGAGATTTCATTGATCTGAAAATAATAATAAAAGAAAAACAAAATGATTTAGAATTACAAAAACTAGAAATTATGAACAAGCAAAACAACAAGCTATCGAATTTAAATTAGTACATGATAAAATTACAGAAAATATGAATGGAAAGAGATAGAATTTTAATTATTTTTAAGTAATTCTGAAAATTTTTTCCATATATTATCTTTATATTTGTTTCTCCAAATAAACTCTTTTAACAAAGGTTCAATAATATTTTTTCTTCTTTTTGATTTTGAAATAAAATCCTTGAGTAATTTCTAAGTATTTTCAATATGATTTGTGTATATTTTTCTTAATCTTTGTCTTTGTGTTAGTTGTTTTGAATGATTTACTTTAAAATATTTATAACCAAGCTTTTCTAAATTTTGATATTCTTTCCAACAATCAGTATATATAGTTGAACCAATTTTTATATATTTTTTAATAAGTTTTGTTAAAGTTTTAGTATTACGATTTTTTACTATAATAAAAAAGTATTTTTTTTCTTTTGTTCTCTCAATTCCCCCAAAAATCCAAAAATTTTCAAATAAACTTTCATCTAATTCTACTATAATGCCTGGTCCACCAATAATAGTATCTTTTGTTTTTAAAGAATTAATAGCTAATTGCCTAAAACTTTTAATAAATCTACATATAGTTAA